GAATGGGATTAGTTTCTGTTTCTGAAGAGCAGTTGGCACCATGAATGGCAGCCTCTGCCACTGTTGTATAAATGTGTGTGAATGGGTGAACGTGACATGCAGTGTAAAGCGCTTGAGCTGTCAGAAGACTAAAAAGGCACCAAATAAGTGCAGTCTATTTACCAGTTTACTTCTCATGATCAAGATACAATAAGGTGATCAAGTGATCATCATTAGCTATTTGTACAAGATTCACCAGTTTATGGTTCGGCTGAATTTTTTGTACTGATGGGACGAGCTCTGACCATACTTTAGCAAGTGATTGCTTTGGATATATTTTGAGCACATTATTATCTGATCTACCAGCATCTGTAATTTATTTCACATCAGACCTTATCTGTCCTAACAGCTTTAGCTCCTCTAATATGATTTTAGTTTATTCTAGATTTTCTTTACTTTATGATATGCTGTCAGATGAATGATTCTCCACATACAGTATAACCGACCAGTCAAGAAGAAACACTGTGAAACAAAAGCGTGCCAACAAGAAACAGACTTGATACAGTCAGTATCAGTCCCTTTTTGTAGATTTTGTTAAGAGATTCCACAAGTTCATTGGAGCAAAATAGCTCTCAAAGAATCACTAATGTGAGAGTGATGGGATGGAGTAATAGAGCATTTCACTGTGTGGTAGAACAGTTTCATCTCTGTTATCAAAGGATCTTAGTGATGTTGTCATTGTAGGGTCTTTAAGCTTCTTGCGACAGTCTAACCAACATTTCTTATTACATGAAAGTGAATTGACTCGGTGTACTCCTCAGCTCACCTCCCATCAGAGACCCTCTCAGACTGCTCTGTCTATTTCTCTCTTTCAAACACACCAAGGCAACGGCTCACAGAAACAGTAGGGACCCTATGGGCTTCATCTGGGCGGAGGCCTCTCCTCCCTTCTTTCATCTATGGGTTTAGAAGCTTGGATTCGGGCTCTGAGTGACTGCTACTTCATATCATCCCAGACAGGTCTATAGTGTCCGTCGCTCTGCATCATTATTGGGATGAGTTGGCAATGTTACTGCTTGCACATACTGTATGGGGAGGAAATCTGCAGGCTCGCAATTACAGCAGCAATGACAGTGGTGAGGATGATGAGGAGGAGGGATCAAAGGAGATTGGAAAGCCATAAAAATGGAAGTTATAATGATGAGTATAAAGTAGGGGTTGTATTTAAAGGAATAGTTCAACATTTTTGGAAATATGCTTATTTGCTTTCTTGCTGAGAATTAGGTGAGAAGATCTTTGCTGCTCTCATGTTTTTTGGGTAACTACGAAGCCAGCATCAAGTTAGCTCAGTACAAAGACTGAGAACAAGGGAAACAGGCAGCCTGGCTCTGAACAAATGTAGCAAAATCCACCTACCAACGCCTGAAAAGCTTAAAACTTACTGCACTATAGAGTTGCAAAGTTGGGGGAGCTATTTCAAGCACCGTTGGCTCCAGAAGTGAAAGTGCAATTCATTTTTCCAATAGACGATTTTAAATGGCTCACAGCTGAAGCACTTCCACAGCATGGATGGACAGTAAAAATCTCCCAGTTTAATCATCAGGATAAATGGACAAAATGTATTATTCTTTGTCAAAAACTTGAAGGTGCAGGCCTGTATACATCAAATAATTTGGGATAGAAGTTTACTATTTCTCCCTAAGGTGCAGGTGAGAAAAATCCAATTACAGGGCATAACATTCTGTTACGTGTGCCGCTAACAGAAATTATACTGCTGAGACAACAATTTGCAGCTAAAGTTAATTCACTTTTTTCATTTCGGATGAACTGAACTGGTTCTGTGTTTTCTTCACAACTGCAACAACTTGTTTTAGAATTTGCTACTGCTCTGAGTAGAAAATTCAGCAACAGCAACAGCGAAGGTCATGGGTATTGTAGTATTTAGAGCCGCCCACCATTCCAAAATGATGGCACAACATTCTCAGAAATGAAGTTGAAATAATAAAAACTGAGAGTTCTAACATAAACCTGCAGGGCTGTTATTATTAATAATTTATTAGGTAACATTGAGAATGTCATTTAAAGGACAATTTCAGGAGAAAAACATTTCTAGTAACAGCCCCGCCTCTCCCACTTTGAAACTCTGCATTTCATTTGTGTGATCTGTACAAAAACTGACATGTAATAATGAAACATTGTGGTTTATGGAGGGTTATGCGAGAAACTATTTCTTTGCCGGGTGCAACAATATCGTGGAATCTCAGTTGGAGGCCTGACAATCCCTGATGATGGTTATTGGAACAAATAAACCTATGGTGATGTCAAGACTCCACGATTTTATTATCTCTGGACAGAGTCAGTTTCTTTGTGCTGAGATGAGCTAACCGGCTACTGGCTGTAGCTTCATTTAGTACATATAGTATAAAAATTAGAGTGGTATCGAACAAAGTGAATAAGCGTCTTTACCAAAATATCAAACAATTCCTCCAAGAAATAAAGAACATTTTAGACACCCTGGACTAATTCATACTGTATGTAACTGTTTGAGAGCTTCTAGTCCATCAAGACCACACCTCGGGGGTCCAGTCACATTTCACATGCAATCACATGTAATCCTTGAAAAGAAAAGCCTGAGGGAAACCAGATGATCTGAAGACACATCTGGACACTATGACAGCTTGAGAATGGACAATACCAGGAGGAGTTATGCCATCAGATTATATTACAGATAACACATCACACTGCCACTGAGGCAAGGCAAGATACCATGAGACAAAAACCAGAAAGTGACACAACTGCTTCCATGATTAGGGCTACAACCAACAATTAGTTTCATAATTTTGACGATTAATCGATTAGTTGTTTGGTCAAGAAAAATGTCAGAAAACGGTAAATTTGTCCACAACCCAAAAATATTCAGGTTACCGTTGAGGAGGATTAACTAGAAAATATTCACATTTGAGATCATAGAAATAATAGAATTAGTAAATTTCTTCTTTAAAAAAATGACTCAAAACGAGTAAAAACTTTTAGTCCCTACTTTTCAAGGAACAAAAAGGTTCCTTAGTCCATTGTTGTCTGTGACCCACAAAGATTAAGCAAATTAGTCAACAACAATGTCATCAGTCCATTTATCGTACATGTTTTCTTCTATAACCCCATGAAGTGTTAGAGCACAATGAACCAAAAATGGTGGCTGAAATAAAAAGTGGAGAGTGCTCAACCAATCAGAAAAGTTCAGCGCTGCAAACGCCACACCAAGAGTTCCTCTATTTGAAGAAAGTACTACCCCCCAAGCAAGGACTTTTTGGGGCAGAAAATTATGTCCCCTGAAATTAATTTAGACCCTGGTCCCTGTGGTCCTCCAAAGGTTCCTAGTCTCTGGGGAAAGTTCTGGTGGTGGCATAAAATGTTACTTTGAATTCAGTGCAATTATATAAAAAGGACCACAAGTGGGGTCATAAGGTCTGCACATGACATAAGCTGCTCCAAATGAATCACCAGCCGCCCATTCCAGTGACACAGGGCAATGCTCCCATTTAGCTTGGCAGACCACAGAAAGCAGTCAATACGCAGGTAAAAGAAGCAAACAGAGAGGGAACAAAAATCAATACAGAGAGAAAAATGAAGACAAAGACAGTGCTGTCACATGTCCAATAAGTCAAAGCCACTCCAATACTTCAATTTGCACTATTCAATGCAGTTTCTTTAATACAGAAGGAAAATACACTCCCAGCTCTGGAGTTTTGATGATAACAGAGAGCCTTTCCATTATCTCTTCACAAATCTATTTATGTAAATCTCATTCCTCTCTCTTCCTGTGCCTTCTTGTGGCTGCTGGCCTCCACTGTGAGGGCTAAATCTGAAAGGCAGTTGGCAGTTTATACACAATGAGTGAACAAAAATGTGCACCAATTAAGAGTGCCTTACAATCTGTGCTTTTTCTGCTGATTACGGGTATTACGATTGTGGTAAATATAGTTTGAGAAATTAGAGGAGAACTCGGGCTTCGAGGAGCATTAGTGTGGTTTTAATTAGTTTTTATCACAGTGGAATCATAGCATTGCTGGGAGCATTTGTCTCTTGACTTGACAGCTTAACTGTTTTTATCTGATGCAGAGCTGCTGGGTAAAGATAGGCCAAAGTAGACATCACCACTGATAAGAAGTATCTAATACACAAGGCTGGACTGGCTTGTAAATGTCTACAAGCTGTAGTGGTTAACCCCGATAAAGTCTCCCAGTAACACCCCCACTTCCTATAAAGACACAGCTATACAGCAGGCAGCACATCACCCCGATGGTCTCTATTAAATTAATTCCTGACCTTCACCTTCATATCCCTTTCATAACTGTAGTCCTTAAAATCACCCATGTGCCCAATTAAAGGTGCAGTTTACTTTATGAGCTTGACCAGCATTGGAATACCTGAATGTCCCTCCTGTTATAAACTGAGCACAATCTCCCCAAACAAAATGACCCTGGGGAAAAACAATCAAAGATGAAGTGGTTTGCGCGTGGTTAAGCAAAACGTATTAACCTCCTAACCCTCATTCACATCAATAAAGAGAATCATCTACGCACTGGTGCACCAGACTATTGCACAGGCAGAATCAATGGAAAGAACCACAATTTAGGAGGGAGACGCACAGGTGCGCGCATATAGACACACACACAATCCATGTATTTGACTATTAAGTAACACCGAGATAAGTCTGCAGTTGCTGTCTACGCATGAACATATCATTTCTTTTCTTTTCTTTTTTTTTTTTTTTTTTACAGATTTTTTGATATTTTCAGACTTAAAAAACATCACTCCATACTTCAAAGTTTAAACCGTCAGCGGACTTCCAGCCTGCATTAGACTGCACGCTCCACTCAAAGGCGCGCTGGTGAGAAAAAAGCGCACGAAAAGGCAACACGCGTCTCCATAATGTGAGGCGCAGCAAACATGAACATGTGCCACCGTCATTTTAAACAAAAATCTGCATGTGGGCAATGAAGTTAAAACCCGAACTCTACCTGTAACTGCCGATCGCCGCGAACATATCACACATGCCAGCGCATCCTGGAAATAAGAGTCCGCAACGTTAAGAGTTCCCCCTCAGATCGGTGTGCTGGTAACCGTGACTTCCATCCAGTTAAAGACAGCACCTGCTGATCCGCGCATACATATGCCCGCGCAAACAACTGGTTGTGCTCTGTCAGCGGATTCCCACTAACCACTATGTGCTGGACGCGCCGCTGCGCAATGACGCACGCCATGGACCCGCAGCTGATTTGGAGTCTCCAAAGCTGCCCAAGATGAATATCTGTCATGATGATGTCTGCTGTGCGTTACTTTTTACAGAATGAGGGGGAAAAATATCAATACCAAAAATGATTTTATGCCACAACTACAACCATGGAGCAGCGTTTTTTTCTTCCATCGCCACATTCACGAGACAACGATTTGCCTCAAGAGGCATTGAGTGAATATTTGTTTCAACCCCTCAACAGCGATTCACATATTTTAAACCAAAGAGATCATAGTGCAGTAACCGAATCAATATTGTCACACAGCACATGCACTCTTATCATTCCATCTCTATTTTGGTACTTTGAAGAAATCAAGTGACAATAATCGTGTCAGTGCTCGTTTAACGCTTCGCAGCAGCACTTGGAGCTATTATACTTTCTAATCAGCTTAACGGAGAGAGAAATAGGTTGCTTTAAAAAATCCAGGAAAGGAGACTCACGGGCTACAAGTCAGCATGGACGACCTTGTGCTGAGGTGTTCGCCTCTGATGGATGGAGCTCGACAACCTTCCCTAGGCCTTACCTCTTTGCCTCTGCGTGGGTGTACCAGGAACTCTTCCACCCAAAGCGCCCCAAGGGGGGTGAGGGGCGGTCAGTCAGGCAGCAGCTGATCCGATCTTAGCTCACATGTGTGCCATAACTGTCGGAGCTCAGTCGCTCTGTGGTAGGGCAGGAGAGAGTCATAGTGGGGTATAGAGAGACCACCATTAAAGCGGGAGAGGGTTAAAGCCCCTCTGTTGGCAAACAGCCACTCAGCTGAAGCATTAAGCAGGGCAGTGATTGCCTTCCACACATGGTTGTATTAGCTCCCAGCTCCAGGGAGGCTGCTCTCTAGCTGACCCTGACCTCTGACCTTACCATGGAAGGGGGGAGATAAAGGAGGAGTTCCATATGGGGATCATTAAAAGATTAGCAGAATGGAGCTTTATGCCCAACATATACAGCATATACAGGATGTCAAAGAGGCAGGGAATTCATTCCATTTCATTGCTTCAATGATGTTCAAGTTCAATGAGTGAAAATGAGTCTGAAAACAGTCAAATCTAATACAGCTGTCCTGGTTTTCCAAAAATCGGGAATGAAAAACAAATCTTGGAAAAAGCAGAGTTTGACAATCAGAAGAGCTGACATTTTATTACCCTCTTTCACACTTTCTGCATTTTTTTCCAACTCATTTACACTTACGGTTGCCAGAGGGTGTTCAGAAATCTAAAGGTCAAAGTGGTGTGACCTGGCGGCTCATACTGTGTAAATGTGATGTTTTTAGTTTGAATTCGGCCCAGTGCTTTTATTAGACGCCATCCTGTCTGTCAGCCAGTAGAATCTGTCTCTATTTTGAGTTCTAATAAGTGCAGTTAAAAAGATATATTTTTGCCCATGATTTTTAAATGTGCACATTTACTACATTTCATTTTTATACACAGATATTAGCCAACTATCTCATAAGAAAGTGGATCCTAATCTGAGGATCGGGGGCCCCGAAATGTCACAAGATAAATCTCAATGGTCAGAAATTAAAGGTCCAGTTTGTAACATTGAGGATGATCTATTGGCAGAAATGGAATATAATATTCATAGGTATGTTTTCATTAGCGTATAATCACCTGAAAATAAGAATCGTTGGGTTTTTTGTTACCTTAGAATGAGACCTTTTAATCTACTCTAGTCCTCTTCTACGGAGTCCACCATAAGTCCTTTAAGTTACACGATGGAAACGTAGAAACAATGTATTTCTGCAACAAAACTATTTATATTCCTTTTAGATTTTGCCCTATTTTTATTTAATTTTTTACCTCCTCAGGCCTCTGCAAATTATTGGAATAAAAGAACCTCAGAGGGCATATACAGTATCTTTGACTAGTAGACACTGATTGCTTGGTCACATGCAAAAAAGTTAGGAACTCCTAGGATAATTACAACATAATTTTACATATTTATGTTATAAAATAGAAGAAAATAAAGTATGGACAGTGTCCTCTCACTAATGGTCATGTGACTATTGAGATGTTGTTATCTCTTCTCTCTCGTCTGTCCATTCATCCATCAATCAGCAAACAAATACAATTCACTTCCAATTAACAAGACAAACTGCTTAATTGTTAGATAGTATGCAGTATTTTTTTCTGCTATGCAGAAAGGATCACCACCTGCCATGTCTTGTCCTTGAAGCTCCAACAGGGGACATTCCCCCTATCATTTCTCATGCACGTGAGAGCAAGGGACAGGTGAGAAGATGAGGCTGCTGACTTGAAGGCCATCCAGCTCTCAACCTTTTCCTCAACAACAGGCTCCCTCGCGATGAGTCTCCCCCTCATATCTTTCCCTGTCACATTTGAATCCTGTTGGGGTATTTCAACACGTCCACCTCATTCATCTGCTGCTTTCACCGAACCATTTCACCCAGGGTTATATGGCCATGTGCATGTTTTATGCATGATTTATGTGGGTCGTGTTCTCAGAGTTTCATCACTTAGGCCTAGGTCACCAGGGGAGCGGAATAAAGGTGCACCCTGAAACCAAATCTTTCATGCATTTGTCCAGTGATCTCTTGAGCTCTGAATGGGTCAAATGTGTGATATTCATATTATCCACATTCAGTGAGTTGCACGCTACTGTATATGTAGATCTAGGATAGATAGAGATATTAATATTTGGCAGTGAGAGTGTTTCAGTTGTCACTCAAGCATTGCCAAGTGTCTCTATCTTGTCATTTAACATTTGAACACACTGCCAGTAGAGCATGCTGAGGTATTAGCATGGTCATGCATTATGCATCATTTAGACAACTACAAGCTTTTTATATGTAAACAATTCATCCATTTAAAAAATGAGTTTTCAATCAGTTTTAAGGTAACCTTGCCCTCCCCATCTAGTTGATGGATTTTGGTGGAAAGCCCTAGAAATCGCTCATCCACAATTTATTGCACAAGCACAAGAGTGTGAGCTTTGCAGAGCTTTCTATGTCCTCAACCATGGAATCTACTGCCCTTGACCTGGAAATGTGAAAATCTATCTATATGTACCACTGAAGCACCATTATTTCTAAAATGACAATAATTTGTTGGGCCAAAATAGATCTTGACCGTTTTTTGGAAATAATTCAGATCCATTTACATTGAGCATGTCTCTGTTCCAGTGTGAGCAGCAGGGTGTAAAAAATAAATTATCTTATTAATGAACTGAGTACAATATATAAATTATGTAGAATATATATAAACAATTTACAAAGCAATTTAAGAACTAAACTCATTATTGATAAATGTTATTTCATCATTCTACTTCATAATAGAATTTAATTTCTCCTTTGTTTCTTTAAAATTAATTATTATTTTATAATGCCTGTTTTCAAAAGAGTGTTTTATTACATAATTGCATTTTTACCAATGATACTTTTATTTCACATCATTTCAGGTCACAATATCACTTGTTGGCTCATAGTATCATGGATGGCTTACTGAACGGGCCAGCTGGGTACTGGTCCACAGATCTTGGGCCACACCCCCGTATGAAGTGACTGTTATTGTAACATTTCTTGCTGGAAAGTCCTTTTAAGTTACTGTGTCCAGGGCTTCAATGTTTCATAATCTGTCCATGGCTATAGGCTTCAGAGTTACAAATAGAAGCTATTTAATAATCAAATTTGAATAATGTACAGTTTATTATTGACAAAAACCTGGGCCTTAAACTTGAGTCTTCACGAATGTGCTCCTCTTTTTTAAAACTACACCTCAGTCTGCCCAGCCCCTCCCTCCCCCCATTCAAAAGTATATATTTAGGTTATAATCATAAAATAAAGTTTTCAACGCACATCATGTGTAGCCTGTTGAGAGGTGTTGCAATATAGATGACCTTTAATGGAGCAAGATAATTTAGCTGTCAGTCACATCCGCTCGATTCATTGACTGGTTGGAGCCCCTAACTGGCAGAGAATTAAATCCACTACATGAAACATTAATCATGTCCAGTTCATGCTTGGCTTGTACCTTGGAAACTAGTCAACAAATATTCACTAGAAGCATGCAGACAAGACGTAGCATCTGGATACAGAGTGGTAGAAGTCGATTCTTAGATATCGCCCTATAAAATGTCTTATACATTTTAGCATTTGAGGATTTTCATCCTCATTACGTAGTTGCTTCTTGGAAGACTTAGAAACCTCATGATATCAAAGCTGTGTTAAGTCTGGCTTCACAGGAGCTACTGTGCACCCTCATTAGACAGATGCTGCTGCCAGGGGGGACTGTGGTATCTGGGGTAAACTGTTAGTGGCGTCCTTGCTTCTCCTTTCACAGGAACAGATGTCAGAGGGAGCTAGACTGCCTTGTCATTCCACCTGAGGTTTCCATCCCTGCATTTTTCTGGTGTATTCAAATTAAACAGTTTTTGTGTCGAGTGTTTCCTGACACTGGCGCTCTGATGACTGGAATAACCCCTCGTTCAAGGCAGAATGATGTGTCACACCACAGCTGCGCTAGGTTGATGAATAAATCAAAACATGCACGTTGTGATGGTGTGTCATTAGCAGAGAAAGTAATTGCGAAGCAAAAAAAATGTGTCACTTTCCAGCTAAATAATGTTACCCTATATGCATATAATTTATTTTGCATAGCTGAAAGGGATATTGGGTCATTAAAAGTGCGTGCACCAAGTGTTTTGCTTGTTTATTTTTTTAAAGAAAGTAATTTTAAACAGGGAGATAAGATGGAGATCCTTTTTTTTAAAAGTTACTCAAACACACTAGCACAACCAATTTAAGCGTTGGTGGAGCAGGTACAAGCACACCGAGTATAATTGCTTCCCACAACACATTTTCCTGTTTTCTTCCCGTTCTCCCTTTCTGTGACATCCTTTATCTCTCACTCCTCTCTGTAGATATTCTCCCCATTTGATCCCTCTTTCATTCAGCTGCACTCTCTCTCTCTTTGTCTTT